AAAAAAAATATTCTCTGAGGATCAAGCTATTCCAAAAAATTTCGCAACGACAGTGTTGTTCTGCACGATTGTTTTGGAGAAAAGGTTATAATGCAAAATTACCTTTGTTCAACAGCAGAAAAACATGCCTAGAAGTTGACTCAGAATTTCATGCATTTGCAAGACAAAGTTCGAGTGTTGTAAACTAGTCTTAAGACTAGAAAGAAAAGAAGAACTTAGATTTGTTTTAGCAATAATAAAGGGATTCACTTAATTTTCAGTCTGAACAGCACATGTTTGAAGGTAAATTCTAAGGAAGATAAAAACCGGGGTACTCGTTTCCAGGATAGGATCACAGCTCTTCCATAAATAAAATATAGCGATGAATACAGCTACATTAAAACAAAGGTCACTCGACTGCAATGTAAAGTGCTAAAAAGTCATGCCAATCTAATAATGTTTATCAACAATTTCTAGTTTCCTTTTTATCAGAAAGAATTATTTTCAGAAGTATCAAGTAATTAGAATTAAGAGAGAAAAGTAGTAAGTAATTAGAATTATTGACACCTGCCTCCGAAAGTTTTAGGTGTCCCTATAAAGTGACTTTCATCCTTGTCTCAGCTTTCGATAGTTCCCTTTCCTTGAATTTATTTTCTGTCACTTTATTGTTTCGCTACTATTCTTCTTACGCACTTAGCTGCCCGTGTACGCGCTTGCACCCAGTTATATAGTTTAATGTTCAACACACTAGGTGCTAAGGAGAAAAACAGTTTCGAACAGCGCTTCTTCCATCTTTCTACTGCAGTTGTAATTCAGGGAAAAAATCGAGAACAAAGACAGGTTGGTTCCAGGCGCACAAAGTGTCAAAGTCACAGATCAAAGTAGGGAAAGTTCTGAAGCGCTTTCGAATCTATTTAGTGGGGCATCGCAGAAGCAAAAAGATTGGGCGACCGCCAGCGACCGGTGGTTATGCATTTTGGAAATCGGTTTTAGATTTATCATATTAATTCGACTCAGGTTCAATAGTAGGCAGAAAGGATTAGAAAGCAAAAATAAGAATCACATGCTACTCAATAAGAAGAGGGATTTAGTTTGGCCTACAAAATCAAAGGTTCAAGTACTCAAAAAGAAGTTTTGTATGCTTACCGCGCATTTGTACGTCGCCTTACAGTGCACTCTTCCATAACTTTTGCTTCGACCAAATCGGCTCTCCTCCAGTTCATCCACAGTCATCCAACGATGCTTCTTCGATGAACCACTGCTACCTCCTTCTTCTCCTTTTCGTTTACCGCCGCTCACTTCCTCGATGATAGAGCTCTAAAGCAGCTGTTATTTTCACACTTTTCTCAATATCTGTCAGCAAGAAATCAAAAAGTCATAGTTACATGGCCACCTCAGTTAACGGAACCGGCTCTATGAAAATCAGATTGAAAAGCGTGTATAAGAGGTAACTTGAGGTAGGTAGAGATTTGGAAAAATAGGACACTTCAGAAGCAGAGGAAATGAGAAGGGATGAAGTTCCTAGCAGTAAAGTAAGAAAAGCCCTATCTAATCCAACTAAATTCGCTATTCTGGACAGCTACTATCACTTTAGAATATTTATTTATTTATCGTGAGCCGTGCAACAAGGAGTTTTTCAGAAGCCGTTATTTCCATATTAGCACGGACTTGAACAGGCCTTCACAATCTATTAGGAACTGAAATGTATACAGGAATAGTAATAAAACCGTTATCTTTGAGATAGCACTTGAAGCAGTCTGAAGTTTGAAAAGTTAAAAAAATAGCATTCCGTCAGACAACAAAATTTATAATGCATCTTGAAAGACGCAGAAAATGGAAAATTGCGTGTTGCTAGCTTAGCATTTTAGCGCTTATCGGGTTTAAGAAAGCTTTCACATTTATAACAAAATGCGCAAAAATAAACTACAATAAACAATGATTTATTGCTAATAAGCTACGATTTACCATAATATTGTGATTTAATTGTTCAGCTTATCCATCTACCGCGAAGTCTACTACAAAATGGTTGTCTTCATAAACAAAAGACCCAGAAGTAAGTGAAACATCTGCTTTTCTGATGTCTTATCATCAGCCCTACATTTTGGCATGACATGTATTACTGCATAAGGCTTTTTCTCAAGTGATCTTCGGTTAGGAAGCATCACGCGAGAAAAATAACACGTGAGGGTTTGCGTTAGTGCTTCGCGAATTCAGTGAAGGCCAAAGAAATATTATCGGACTGTTTGGTAGCGTGATGGGTTAGGCTGCTTCTCATGCTACGTTGTAAGTAGGAACATCAATAATTTTAGAGTGTGAAATCATAGATCAGAACCAGATGTTGTTACAAAAGGGCAAGAACCTTTAATTTTTGAAATAATCAGGAGACTCTGCGCTAAGCCTGTAAATTTTTATAAGTTAAAGAGATAATTTAGTTTGAAAAAAAAAGAAAGACATACACCAAAAGCGCTGCCTAGCACTGGATTCAGCAAATGGATCATCGATGCTCGTACTTGTTCATCTGACGGTCCCAAACCACTTCCACCATCACTAGAATCCGCTCCAGCATCCAGATCCATGCCTCCATTCAAATCTCCGGATGCATTTAAGGATGAGGCATCGAGAACGCCAGCATCATCTAGCTCGGGAGACCTATAGAAACAAATGAATCCACTTGAAACTTAAACTATAGGATTCAGCGCACCCATTGCTATCATCGTGCTCCAAGGCGCCACTGAACGATTCTCCCATCGGCTGACAACTTGCAGCTGCTTGAGCGAGGATAATCCGTTGGATTTCCTGCTGCTGCCGTTC